TTATGCTGGAGAGTATTAAATGGCAGAGCCATTTATGCTGGAGAGTATTAAATGGCAGAGCCATTTATGCTGGAGAGTATTAAATGGCAGAGCCATTTATGCTAGAGAGCCTTCCCGGATATAGAACTCTAGCCCTGCTCGGTTCACAGGACACTCCGAAGGATATTACTGCAAAATAAAGGGAAACGAACGTAGTTATTTCGAGCTTTTAAGAAGATGAGAAAGCAGTGTCTGTTATATAAGGCACTTATTTCTTGCAGCGGTCTTGAGACCATTTTTTTATTCGAATTATTGCAATTTATATGTACTTTTTTAACATTTTAACACCTTTAAAGTATAATTAAATATAAAAATATCTAATTTACAGAGTAAGTACACAGTAGTTCTAGTGAGTGAGTGAATAGGGACATAAATCCTGTCCACTTTACTGTCGTACAGTTAAATGGTGAAATCTAAGACTTTTCTCGAAGTATAGGCTCAAGCCATGTTTAATGTGCAAAGATCTCAAAATAAAAATGCACAGAAGTGAGAAATGCATCCAAGATTGATGTTTTTTATAACAATTGTGCGTATCCTCAGTATAGGATCGCTTTGCTGTCAATGATTTCGAGATGTAGCAACGATCAGTTCGGTTCTGTTTGACGCACAGACGAGTGGAGCTCAGACATTCCGTCTTACTCACAGGATATTAGATTGGCTCTGATAGTGAACTGATCCTAGCGATAATATCTACGCGTATACATTCTCTGACAGTCGAAGTGTGAATATTTTCTTGAACACTGGATTTGTAGGCCACAAAGACAGTGTTATCGAACGGGAGTATACTTATCAAAACTTAATTTACCAAAAAGTTACGGTCTTTGGCAGAAATGTTCAAACAGCTTGTGAAACATCTCTTAACGTATTATCAGATGATGGGAATCTAAAATCAGAGTATTAACATTAAACAGAAAGGATCAATGTAAAGGATAGGACATTTCTTGTATTTTTTTATAAATTTACCATGTGCTTCTGGTGTGTATTGGTCAATTCATGCTGTAAAATACGTTTTTATAAGTAGTCGAAGTGATTTTGGTACCGTGAAGTTATTAGACTAACAAATGGCGAGCAGATTCACATTTTATTTTCGTTTGAACTTTTGGACAACTTGTGGAGAAAATATTATAGGGTAATTTAAAGTCGACAAAAGCTAGAAGTATCATTGAGATCCTCAATTTCACCTTTTCTATAACTCTAAAAGATTTTCTTGATAAGAATTAAAATATAGCGGTATACGAAGCGTAACAAAAGCGAACGACCTAAAGAATGAATCAGTTATAGATAATGCATATGAATAGGTAGAACATTGGTTAAATAAAATAAAGACTTCTAAAAAATGTTCAATTCAAAAAGTGAATAAAACACGTCGTTTCACTTCATTTCTTGTTTTAATTTGCCGATTGAATATTTTTATCTAAAGCAATTGAAGCTAATGCTTGTAGTGTTAGCGTAATTCTAGTAATAATTACTTGCAAATATGATAAATCCCTTTCGACATCTGCCAGAAGCTTAACGTTCATAGCGAATATTGAGTCTACGTTACCTAATAATGTACCAAGATTACCAATTATATATTTATCAGCAAGTGTTAATGATTTTCCTTCTATTACAGTTCTAAGAACACCTATTAATGAACTTAGTCTACCACTAAAATCATTACCCAATATATCTGTGAAAGCTGTTTCTAAATTAGCCACAATTGGCACCAAACTACCCATGGACTGTGTGATAGATGCTAATAATTCACGCAGTTTTGATATTAATTCCGAAACTGTTGTCGATTTTAAGATGTTATTAACATTATCGATAATATTCTTAATATAACTTTTTGTCGGCGATTTTAATGTTGAAACAACATTTTGAACTTCAGTTCCAACATTTGTAATTGTTGTATTCATGCCTGTTAATAACTGAGTACATGATGCTAATAAAGAAGCATCCAGCAGTCCACTAAGTAATGAATCAATAGCTGGAGGATGGTGTATAACTAATCTGTCAATAGCATTTATTATGTTATTCATTGAATTTTTAACATTACCACCTAAATCGTTAATCACAAAATTTAAAAAGGTCGGTATGTCTCCAATTACTGCCTGAAGAGATCTAACTGGACTTATTACTATTTCAGTATTATTTAAAGTAGTAGCTCGCTTTTGAACAGCATATCCATGTTGTCCCTGGAATTCTTCACCATTTGTTTTGAATATCAGTAAGACATATACCGCAATTAATCCTAATATAATTTTATTCATTTCTGTTTTTGGTTGTTCTTGTTCTTCGTAGTATGCTGTACTTTACGCTCTACTCTGATGGGAAACCAGTTTTACGTACTACTTCAAAAACTGAGTGAAGCTATATTGGAATATGTACAGTTATTTAGTCAGCACACGATAGGCTTCATTGCTTATTAGAATACGTACACGAAGAAATAGTAAATGTGAAATTAATATAAAAGTAATGAAGCGAATAGAACAAGCCACGCGGCTAATCAGTCCGTCTATTTCAAATACTGGAATACAACTGGTATATTGCAAGATAGGCAGTGTATCATTCAAAAAATAATATTTGAACGAAACATTGTGCTCAGCATTATCGTATTATATGCTGCTTGGTTTGACGGTGATAGTGTTCGTCACCTGTTCAAAGATACGGTGTCCGAACCTTGGCGCCGGCAAGCCATTTACTAACCTTGGGCAAGTTACTTATGTTCACTTGCCTCGGATCACCTTTTCGATAGCATACTAACTACGTTCTGACGTACAATACAGCATCTTCGGTTAGTCTTTGAGACTTTCCGGAAGCTAGTACGTGATTAGTGTGTATATATTGGGAGCTCAAGCAATTGGGCGAGAGAATTTTGCGTCAGGCTAGCCTTTTGAGCAGAGCTGCAGTTGACGGTTAGTAACCAGATGGATGACCATCTCAGAAGTTTGCCAACTGCAGGGAATATATCGAGCTATTGAAACTGCCATTAGTAGCACCCTACAATGGTAACGGTAGCCGCAAGTAGTGGTGTAACCACCGGGTGGGCTCACTTCACCAATTAATTAGTTTTGCTCACCCAGTAAAAGTTTTATATCACACTACCCTGCGCTAATATCTACCACTTTGAGAAAATTTGGAGCAACGCCCGCCCACTAACAAAATTGTAGCTATGCCACTAGCGATAAGGCGAGGTATTCTTCCTTCCAAATTATATGTTTAACTAACGAAACCTGTACATAGTTTTGTGTATATAATTGTGCATAAGTGGATTTTGTAATTTTTCTAGTTTTCTGTCCGTCTGCCAACAAACTAATCCATTGTAGATATATGTATAATTAGCAGTATAATTATTTTACATTTAGTTTTGTTTCTTTTTTCACAGCACATTGTTGTGCAGACAATTAATTTACAATGTAGTCATTGATTTTTCGTTTATTATTTTTAATCTAGTTTTCATGTGAATATAATGCCCCTATATTTTGTGGATGAAGTACCCTATTCTAGAAACTACAGAAGTGAACTTTTAGTTTATCGCACCAATATATCTGATGGGATTCTGCTGTTGTAATGTACCACTACTATACTGTTGTTCGCCTAAATTTTAGCGGAAACTGGCTCCGCTTAGAATCCCAGAACATATGGATAGTTTATAATAGTTCACATACTGATGAACAAGAACAAGCAACAATGCAAAACAAATCACCGTCCCACAACATGAAATTGTAAAAAATGGTTACATTGATCGCTGTGCCTAATATACCACAGGATATTTCGATTCATGTGATGCCTGAGCCTATAATCAAAAGTTCTGAAACCCTGCGAGAGGTTTTAGATTCTAGGGATCAAGACCAAATATAAACACTAACACTCAAGTCCTTAAGGATGGATTTCATCTTAGGTTATAACTCGCATTAAATGCTAACCACCTAACAAGCGTAAATGTGTACTTTCCAGTGACAATTTTTTCTTGATAGTTTCTTTATAAGTTCAACTTTTGAAGCTCTATCGAATGACTCAGAGGTACTTTTTTAATAATTACTGAAAATGAAGGCTAAACTTTCCTGGGCTTCGCTATTAACAAACTTCTGATGTTGTAATCAATGTTTTCCATGTTTCGAAAGAGTTTTCTCAGAACAAACTCGGGAGTTTTCGGAACCAACGAAGGGTACAAAAAATGCTGAGATTGTGTTGACACTTAGTCATATGGAATGGATTAAGCTGCTTGGAAGCACTCACACATATAACAAGATTCGAATATGATTACTATTTTTCAAAGAAATACAAGAATAATCCTTGAATAGTTGACATAAATGATGGAAATAAAAGATAAGATTAGCTATAGCGAATCAATATCATTCGTCAATAAATGAAATAATAATATACTTCTTCTTATAATCGAAGAAAAGAAAAAGATCTAGTCATGCTTGACCAATTGTTTCTATTGAGATATAGAAAGATTTACTAGTTTAGTTGGACTTTTCATTACAGAGCGGAGGCAAAAAATATTGTACATATTATCCGATACATCATGCAAGAATGGTTATATATTCTTTCTTATACGTTTAGACTAGGTTGTGTTTCTTATACGTTTAGACCAGGTTGTCTTTCTTATACGTTTAGACCAGGTTTTGACTACTTGTCTCATGCAGATGGTGCAATAATATAATCATAGCGATTCTGTTTTAGATACGGGTTTACGATCTCCTGATTGCTCAATCCCAGCACGCATTTGTATAAGAAAAGGAAAAATAAAGTGCGAGACAGGTAATTCAATGTTTTTTAACCTTTAAATTAAAGATGTGCGGAATAAAATGCATAAACTGATTATTTTGTTACTTCACATTCTACTTGGTTGTTTGTTTTAGACTTCAAAAGATGATTATTAAATTGATATTAATGGTAGCTATAGTGCAATATACAATTGCCGATTTTAATTGTGATACTATTTGTAGTAAAAGGAACCAAACACGTACATATATCTTTGAAGCTAAGTATATTAAAGGCGCGCCAGATGGTTATATGAAATCGATATTCACTATAAATGGTGAATTTCCAGGCCCCACAATCTATGCATGTGTCAATGATACAATCATTGTAACTATTACAAATCACGGCCTTGAACCAACTGCTATGCACTGGCATGGGATCCTTCAGCAGGGCACACTCTACTCTGATGGGGTACCTGGCTCAACACAATGTGCATCGAATATCGGTGAGTCATTTACATACTATTTCCATACAACCAAACCTGGCACCTATTGGTATCATTCTCATTTTGGTATACAATATATTGACGGCTTAAAAGGAGCAATAGTTGTTTGCGATCCGGATGATCCATATAAAGTATCATACAACAGAAGTCAAGACGATGTCCTTCAATGTACAGACTGGTATCATTCAAATGCAACTTATCTTTACAATTTATATCTATCCAATGCGCTTCATGGTGCTGAGCCAATACCTGAATCATGTTTAATCAATAATTTCGGACAACCTCCAGATTGTCATGCTAAAAAGACATGTGGATATTATCGCACAGAAATTAAAGCTGGCATAAGCAAACGTATTCGTGTAATTAATACATCAGCATTTGCCGTACTCATGTGTACAATTGATGGTCATCGAATGAGATTAATTGAAGCTGATGGTACATATTTAAATGGAAAAACATATGTTAATGTTCTAACATTTAATGCTGGTCAACGTTATTCATTTATCATAGACGGTAAAACAAATCCAAAGCAAAATTATTGGATTCGCTGTAATATGGACACACCATACCTTAACGGCCCTTCAGCACAGCCTACTGTACGTGGGATTTTAGTTTATGATACGAAATTTGGTTTGCCGCCAGATGCACAATTCAACGATTCGGAGCATGTTATACAAGGTGCGCTCGCTCGTGCTAACAGATTTATTGATCAAAATTTAGTACCGATGAAGGGACGATGTAACTGTCCAAAAAAAAGCACACGAAAAATATTTTTAGAACTTGCTTTTGTATTTTCTAATAACGGAGCACTTCTACCAATTATGAATCATCATGCATTTAAAGCTGTGGCAAATACAACAATATTATCATTAATTCAAACTAATATATCATCATTTCCTGCTTCTGCGAATGTATTTACAATTGAAAAAGGTGAAGTTATCGATTTATATATAAATAGTGAAATTGGTCAACATCCAATGCATTTACATGGGCATGTCTTTTGTGTAATGGGTATTGGAAAAGTGGGTTCTGGTTTCTCTGATGCCTCAAACGTTGATTTGAACACAGATAATCCAATATGTCGAGATACAGCTTCAATCCTTTTCGAAGGTTGGATGGTATTACGTTTTGTAGCTGATAATCCTGGTGTATGGATGTTTCATTGCCATATTGACTGGCATTTAGGTGCTGGTCTCGCACTACAATTTATCGAATCACCGAATGCCATACGCAAAATATATGGTACAGCGCAGAAACCTGTGGAATGCAAGATGGACCGTAAATAACAGTTCAATATTAATGGCAATGTCTCTATTAGCATAGATACATATGACTAACGAGGAAACCTTCACAACTGACCAACCGCTTTCGAGCCGAAACCTGGTGGACTACAGGTAGTCGACCTTGCGCATTCCTAAAATCAACATGAGACGAGCTAACAGGCCTCCAGAGACCGCTGTCCTGGAAAACCAGTTTTAGAAACTATAAAATATAACCAAAACCGTTTGTTAATGAGACATAATTATAATCCGCAAATTTCTGATTAAAATGAGACATCTCCTAGCTCTACACGACCCTTCTTTGCAAAGTTATAGAACTTACAAGAAAAACCCTAAATTACTTTCTTCTTATTTTTGTAGCTTTCAGCTGACAATGAACATATAGGGCTTTTCTTGTAAGTTCTATAACTTTGCAAAGAAGGGTCGTGTAGAGCTAGGAGATGTCTCATTTTAATCAGACATGTGTGGGCTACAATTATGTCTCATTAACGAAATTTCGGTTATCTTTAGAGTTTCTAAAAACTGGTTTTTCAGAAAACCGATCTCTGAATGCCTATTAGCCCGTCTTATGTTGAGTTTCGGAATCAGTATGGTCGAGTACCTATAGTCTACTAGGTTTTGGCTCGAAAGCGGTTGGTCAGTTGGGAACGTTTCCTGCAAGGAACTGAACAACACTTTATTAGGCGTTTTTTCGTTTTCCTTTTTCTGATTTAATCCGATAATAATATTGTCGTCCTAAGAATTGCAAATAAAACTACTTTAATGTAAGCTGTTTTTATAAAAGTACTAGAACCACACGAGCAGTTAACTTAAAATAGAAAAAAACTGGAAAAACATTCGAGCGAAAGCACTAGTTCGTTCGATTGCCCTTCTCGAAGTGAAATGAGCTAGCTACCGCAAGTAAAATGAAGCAGAAGTGAAACAATCTTAGAAGGGTGAACTTTGTAGAAATGCGTGAAGATAGATATTGTAGCTATTTATCCTTTCTTTCCAATAAGCTATAGTCCCTCTACTCTGAGATTCTTAATTGTGTTCTTAACGAATTTACTAGCTACTAAACAGCTATTGGCTGATTTTTCCATATCCTGAATGAAAAAATTTCATGAGCTCCTATTCTTGCTTTAAAAGTTAAATAAATTGAGATAAAATTGTTTTTGTATTCGTATAAATAGTATTTATAGCTAGACGTTTCAATTTATTTGCTAAATTTTCATCAGTAGCAGTACAAAAACTTCAAAGTATATCATTCAATTCATAATTTGGTTATTATGGTATAAATACTCCCTCGCCGTTTCAAAGGAGCTAAGGATTAGATGTAGATATGGGAAGTGTGTGTTTACCGTGTAGTAAGTAAACAAAATACCGATGACTTCGTTTCAAGCAGATTAATCTGCAGAAATAAACGAAAAAGTGTCAAAAATAATGTTATGCATGGCTGTTGGTATACTCAGTGACAAGGTGAGAACACCGAAGAGAAAACGAAGGACGAAACAAACACTAGTTGTCAGTCATGACCAGATCAAGATAGATTGCAAGTTTCGTTGACAGATATTTTCACACAGATAACTACAAATTGAACGACGTAGCTTGTATGATAAGAATGAAAGAGTATATCTTACATCTTTATCTCACATTAATACAAACGCACCATGCGACGATCGATTTCATTGGTCGCAGCTTATATAGTAAAGTATGATAAAAACTTGTTATTTCTTGTGCTGAGATATTAAAATTAAATTCAGCATACTTCAGCGCATAGAATAAGTATGAAAAAGTTCAAAGAAGGTACTTTCTACCAGCGCTAATTAAAAATAAGCGCGGACAGATCACAGAAACGGCGCTAAACAAGAAAGATAACGATTCTTTCGGCGATTTTCTTTATGGAATGGCTAATTAGAAATACGCACATATCTCAAGAAGCTGATGCCCGGAGAATGCAACCACTTACTACAAGAGTATCATGCATAATTTCCCCTGCATTTTCAGATAGTTTCTGACCCTCTTTTCCGTCTAGTTATATCATGTTTCACTCAGACTTTTCTTCGAAAACAAGGTGTAATGTGGCACATCTTAATGGTTTGGAAATATCGGTGTCACAGAACGCCAAATTTCGACATTTGCGTTTTTCTTTAGACTTTTAGATTTTTTATATGACTGAAAAAAAGAAATGTAGCGTTCCTCCTGTAATACTATATGTGACGACCGTCATTTTGCGGTCATCGTTTTCTTTAAATACTTCGTTCAAAATAAGAAGAGAAACAGAAAAGACATTTATAATACTTATAATTATAGCACAACAAGCTTTTACGCCAATGATGAATGGTTATCCACAACATTTAATTAAAAGAGGCGTACGTGAAGGAGAAATTATCACTAGAAGAATGATATCTAGACGACAACAAGCACAGGAATCAATGAAAAAGAAGGAAGTTTACTTTTTTCTCTCTTATTATGGTCAAGAATCAAGCATATTAGCTCAAAGAATTAAACGGATATGTGAAAAACGTATACCTTCTTTACAAATTAATATATGCTTTAGGAAAATGTTCACAATCAGAAGTGTATTGCTTCCCATTCAAAAAGAGCCAGATGAATCAGAAAAGAATAAGAAATTAGTATATAACATATCATGCCTAAATTGTGAAAAATGTTACATTGGAGAAACTGGTAGAGAGAAGGAGACTAGAATGAAGGAACATCAATCAGACATAAGAAAACAAACTGAATCCTCCAATGTGGCTAAACACGCTAATAAAGGAAATCATTCATTTGATTTTATGCGATGTGCAACTTTAGCTCTCGAGACAAACTGGCGAAGAAGAATTATTAAAGAAAGCCTATATACACATCAGATGCAAGGAAAATCGCTAAATGACGTAAAATTTAAATTAAATATCTTCACATAAGACTATTATAAGTTCTTTCTTGTTGCTTTCTCTATCGATAGTCTATCAATTAGTATTAGCTTTTTCTTGTTCTCTTTCTATCGAGTTTCTATCAATTAGTAAGCATACTGTATATAGAGAGATTTCATTTCACTTCTTCTGTTTTTCCTGATGATGATAAGTGTCTCTTATCGAAAACTTGCATAAACCTTACACTGATTTTTGTTAAAAATCTAGATGATCTTTGTGGCAGTTTTATACTCCATAATATTTAAATTAATTTCTACTGCTTTATCGTCAAATTATAGATATATACTTTAACGAAGCATACGAAAGAAAACGATGCATATATAAGTCACTTCATTTAACTCACAATAAAGACCATTCTACTCGCATTTCTTGCAGCTCATATCTACGTTTTTCAATCAAGTAAAATTATTCGAAAATAATAAATTAACTTACAAGGTAAATACACAGCAAATATCAGAGAGAACATTAGAGCAGAGAAATATAAATTTTTTGTAGCTTCGCGTAGTCACAAAGTTGAACTATCGTTCTTGACTAATTTGGTGAACAAAAAAGCTCTTTTCGACATAACTAAGCGAGTACCCAGGTCTTTCATCCCAGGCGGTATACGATCGTTCATGCTGAAATACGTCAAAATACGACGGTTGTATACGTGTATGAATACGAGACCATGTAAACGATGAAGTTACGACACTCATATACGGTCGTTTGTGATAAGTCAAATTTTTCGAAAAACTAAGAATGACAGAACGTATATTGCCGTATAGGACTATCGTAACTTCATCGTATTTCATCATTTACATGATATCGTATCCATACACGTATATAACGGTCGTGAACTGGCGTAAATGATCATATATTCTTTGCTGAGCAGAAATCGCGCTTATCGCAGATCGGAAGCACTTTTCTGAGATTGGGTCTACTCGTCAAAATTACAAGGCCGTAAAATATAGTTTACGATGAGAAACGACAAAAAATCCCAGTACGGTCCTGCAAAAGGGCCGGCACTACCAGTGCGCATGCTATGTTGCACCGGTACGCACTAGTGCCACATTTTTCCAGTCACCGTTTTGTTATCTACGATTGATTCCACTGTGTTTTACTCAGACTTTTCTTCGAAAACATAGTGTAACCAAATTTTAATGCGTTCGTCGAACAAAACTCAATTTTCTGATTATTTTGTCGATCGTGAAGAAAATACGTAGTGTTCTAATGACAGGAGAAATGCGAAGAGTAATAGAAAGAGTGCACGACAGAAACGAAAAAAAGTATTATTGTGATTGGATCGCGCATGTGAATTGCACACACAAATTATACAATCTCAATACTTGCTCGTTTTTTCTCTCTTCATGATTGTGATCATATCGTATATATTTACATAGTTCTTCTTACTTAGCTGTGGCTATTGACTGTTGCTTAGAAAGTCTGAGAAATGTATATTCGATTATTATCATTAACGTCATTCATCTTACTTATCATATTTGCTGTTGAGGTTACTATTGTTGGTAGTCAAGCAAAATCAACGTGTTCAACCAAGGAAGAACCAACATTGACATGTTGTGCAAACTGTTAC